TAAGTCCTATTTTACAAGTTAGATATGATTTTAAAGAGAAGTAATACCCTTGAAATTTTCTAACTTATTTTTTTATGAGAAAGAGAAGCTGCAATTTTTGCCACTGTGATATCCTTTTTCTACTAGTGTCAAGTTAAGAATTATCATCATATATTGTGTTTTCAAAAGTCATTCTTCGAGCTCTGGTAGTAGAGTTCTATGATCAGTTCCAAGAGCTCCTTTCTGCCAGATGTCTTGTCCTTTAGTGACAGGAAAAGCCCAGAGATCCTACTGAACTGTGAAACAGGAAGAAAACTTCATGAGCTGCCTTCACCTAGATAACAGAAACCTGTGAAATTTTCATACTAGAGAGGACGAAAATGTACAAAAATACATTTTATCTATACATAACTATTGGAATTGACTCAAGAATTAGTCACTGCTAAGAAATGTACAAAACAACGAACACGAAACTAAATTTATTCTCCTTAAAATAAATTTCAGTTTGGTCCAAACCTGCATTCTGATTTGGAATGTCAAACCTTACCACCCAGCACCCGCTCCTCTTTCTTCCTCTCCAGCAACCATCTGGCCCTTCCCACCTCATGCAAACAGCCATCACTCATCCCTTGCTTTTCTTGTGTGCCTCCAGAGACCAGAATAGCCAGTCTAAAAAAGCTCTGTTCCTTGTGGGTGAGAAGGAGAATAAAGATGGCAGAGTGGATATGAGGAATCTGCTCCTGCTGTTTGGGAAGCTGACCCTTCTACTGCACTGAAGGGTGGGATTATCCCTATCTATGAAAAAGCATAGCCTCCAGCAGGCAAAATGGGGCATCTGTGCACCTGCACACAGGGTCTGCCCCAGCTCTGCACTCCGGTCGCGCTGCAGCTGGCACCAATCATGAACCATTCCCTGCTTCCTCCAGGGAACACAGAGCCTGCATCAAGCAAGGCAGGGATCACCTACAAGGTCATATCATGAATTAATGTGTACCACCAAGGATCATCATCCTTCTTTCAAAGAAATTTTCTCTTTGCATTGATTGCAAAAGGTCTGTATTTCTGCCTACCTCCCTAGCACTTACAACAAATGGATAGACAGCAAGCTATTAACAATTACGGGCACACCAGGATAGATGAAGTGACTTACATCACATTCTTCAATTATTAGTATTATATCAGAATAGTTGCATTACTTTATTCTGCACTATTTCCTATTTCTGTAGAAAACAATACTAAATTAGCTTATTTAAAATACAACACTTCCTCTATAAATATTCTTTTAAACTCTGCTAAATATTACATTACTATTAATACACATTAACAATTCACTGTATGTACTGATTTATATTATTACTGTTTTAGCATCTGGCAAGCACTTTTTCATTATTATTATAAAATTATGTGTTTATTAAATGATTAGTTGCTATTTCTTAGTCAGGATCCTACACCAAGCTGCTTCTGGAAGAAACTAGGACATCTTCATTAGCTGTACTTTTGTTTACTGAGCATCACAGGAACTAGACAAGGAAAAAAATACCAAGTCATGTTCTCTATTTAAACACACCTTAATTAGTTATCAAAGGAAATACTGCTTGTAGGTAGTGAACTGATTGCTCTAAATGCTGTGATCTTGCAGCTTTGAATTTGCAGATCTCTGAGGTATATGTGGAATTCATCATTAGATAAGAAAAAGAGATGTTTTCTGTGCTTTTTTAATGCACAACTAATAATAAAAAACACTAAGGACCCAGTTACACATTCCAAACATTTTTGGTCAGACACACTTTGTTCAGGTATTAAATGTTGTTTCTACCTTCTTATTATCCACTGAAGTCACTGTACCTGATATTTATTTTTTTCACAAATTCTTCCCTACTAGTTCAAAATTGTCACAGTACTTTACTGATGAAACCTAAATAAATGTTTTCCTCGTACATTATCCGCTAGTAACAGGACAGAATGAACTAGAAACTCCTTGGACATATTTGAGCCAACTCACTGCATGAGCCAACTTACTGGATCACCACTCCTTACTTGGGTAATACCATATAAATCCTCCACTTCCCAGCAGCTGCCCCAAGCAAGCTGTCATTCCCCAGTTTTTACTACAGCCTAAAGATAAATTGGAATCGGGGAGCACTGGATCCCTGCTGCTATTCAGCTTTGCAGACTTGCTGTTGCTGCCACCATCAAAGTCTGTTTCACTCTACTATACCTCCACACCCTCAAATGAGTTTGTATTCCTGATGTCAAGCCCAAAAGGCGAGGGATGGTTGGGATGAGAAGGGTAAGTATGGACAGGAATGGAGTCACACCTTTCCTTTCTCTAAACTCAGCCTGCATCCTTACCCTTCTGGTTTTGGCCATGGCAAGCAGAAGATGTAAACCTTATCTGGACAGCAGTCACCCCTCAACACCACCACCTCTGGGGATGCAGCCTAAGTAAAACTTCCTACTCCATAAGGTACTTCCAGCCCAGCTCTGGGCCCATTTGATATACTTTTTTTTTTTTAGCAACAATTTGAAAAGTACCATCCATGAGGCTCTGAGGAGCAGCAGCAGGAGTTGATGAAGGATAGCACACCATGCACATAGCAAATCATGACTAGTGGTAAGGGTAGCAAAACATTCACTGATTCCACATAATCAGATACATTAGTTCAGAGACAAGCTTGGTAGATTATGCTACACTATCCTACTATAAACTGAAGGTAAATATCATCCTATATTTTGGCATTCTGGGGCTAGCTACATGATACCAAGCTTTACCCAAGGAAAGTAAGTTAGCATTTGGTGATATTTGTTGCTGAACAGCAGCATCTTCCATATTAGTCTAAGAACTGCCTGCCCATAAGAAACAGCAGTGTTTACTCAGGAAATATGCAAAGCTTTTCTGTAAGAAAACACAGCTAAAACTCACTGGGAAGAGTGCCTGAAGGGTGCAGTGGAGATGAGAACCATAAAGAGTTAGGTGCAGGGCTTGTGCATGTCAGCTTTGCTTTAAGGACATCTGCAGAACCAAGCCGTGCAGCTCTGAAGCAGGAATGCAGTTATTGCAATTCCAGGACAATTTATTCCAGTGTAGACATGCACATGTAGAAATGTAAATAATCTGCCCTACAGAAAAAGAACTTTCTTCCCCACATAACTAAAATCACACCAGTGATTTCACTGTGAAATCCTTGCTTTGGGGAAAAGCCCCACCAATCCAAACTACAAAATATGCCCTCCTACCCCTGAATACACCTGAACTAAGACAGAACAATGTGCAGCAGTTGCACGTGGAGTATTAAGATTTGAAGGCAGCTATTCCCATGTTCCATTTCAGATGTGGGAAGACTAAAGAAAATTTATTTTCTACAACCTAGAAATGAGATCTGTAGGACAGGGAATGTAAAGTTCCCTACTTCAACAAAATAGACATTGTATTCTTGTAGTTAGCTAGAACATTATAGCAAAAGGGTTAATAAATTTCACACACTTAGAAGTACTAAATGCTCAGAACTACAACACTTTGGAAGGGCTTTTTAAAATTCCTGTTTCTTTCTTGTTTATTTCTCTGTAGAAAAGAGCCCCCCAAGAGCTTGTCTCACTGACTGTAGGGATTATACCCAGACTGAGCTGAAATGAATTGAAGCACAGCACCATCCGCCACGAGCTGTATGCAACACCTCAAGTAACATCAAAACCCAAATCTAAGGGATCCCTCTGCCATTCCCCTGAAAGCTCATTAATAAATTTACATCCATTACCATCCTGCATCATATCCAACAAAACCTTAACACCACCCCTGAAAGGGTGGGTGATGGCAGTGCAGAGCACTCATGGTAAGCACTTCAAGCCGTCTCCAGATCAGAAACCTATTTAAGGGCACAGTTAGGGCAGTTTTTCTGTGCTGAAACAAGGGACTTGCACAAATCACCCTGGTTTATGCAACTGGCAAAAAGGCCTTAGCCCGGGGTTTTTTAAATGATTACTTTCTATCAACAATTATCATTAACCTCAGGGACATTGGGGTGGAGTAAATCCAAACCACACCATTCTCATGAACAGATACTTCCAGTGTGGATTGCTGGCATTATCTTTGTCACTCATTTGAACATCTGTTAGCACTTAAAAATAAGATGTATTTGCTCATACATCACCTACTAACATATCCTTGGAAGCCTTCAAGGCCATCTGGGATGGGGCTCAGTGCAACCTGGTCGAGTGAAAGGTGTCCCTTGCTCATGGCAGAAGGGTTGGAAGTAGATGGTCTCTGAGGCCCCTTCCAAACCATTCTGTGATTCTATGATGAACACTAACACACACTTTCTAAACAACATTATCAGGTAGGAAACATGACATCCTTAGAACCTGCTAGATGCAGAAAAATTACAATAGCAGTAAATTTTCTTTTACTGTTTTAAGATGAGACCTCTAGGTGAAGGTAAAAGAATATAAATCCCTGACCTCTCCCTCCCCACAAAAAAAAAAAAACCCAACTAAAAACGACCTTGCAAAGAGCCAACCCAGAGCCCAGACTGAGCTGCAGCGAACCCCGCACGATCCAAAGGGAGCAAACGCCTAAGGAAACAGGGCGCACAAGGTGCCCGTAAGGGCAGGAGGGACAACACGGCCCGTAAGTATCGCACAGGGGCCGGACACCCGCCCGGGCGGGGAACGGAGGGGGAGAGGAAAGGAAGGGAAGGAAAAAAGCGAGGAAAGAAAGGAGAGAGGGAAGGAAGGAGGCAGGGAAGGCAAAGGAGAGGGAGGGTGAGCAGCGACCCGAGGGAAAATGGGCGGAGCCTCCCGAGGCCCCGCCCCTCCCTCCTGCTCGAGCAGCCCGCGCCGGCCCCTCCCCCACCCGGCAGCCGCGCGCGCCGCGGGGCGGTGGCGGCTCGCGCCGCCAGTTGTGCGCCCCCCCCCCCCCCCCACCCCTTCCTCCGCCCCCGCCCGCCCGCCCGGGCCCGGAACGGCCCCGCGGCCCTCACCGGGCTGTCGGGCCGGACCGCCCGCCCCCCGCGCCCCGCACTGACCGTTGGGGGGTCCCGCTCGCCCGCGCAGCGGCTCCGCCTCGGCCTCAGGCGCGGCGGGCACGCCCCGCCTCGCGCCCCATCCCGCCGCCGCCGCCGCCCGGCGCTCGCAGGGACGGGCGGGGAGCGGCGCGAGCTCACGCCACCGCGCACGCGCCGCTGCCTCGCTCCGCGCGGCCGTGAGGGCGGGGAGGTGGGGCGGGCGGGCCCGGTCTCCCCCACCCAGGCGCGCAGAGCACGACGGGAGTTGTCGTTCCGGCCGGGGGACGCTGCCGTCAAGGGCACTACAGGTCGTTGCCGGCCGCCGCACTACAACTCCCAGCGGCCAGCACGCCGCGGGGGTGGTTCCAGCTTCTCTGCCCCCCAGGGCTGCTGAAGCCCCCAGGCTCGTGGAAGCAGGGTTCGGCTGCCTGAGGGGACCCCGGCCTCCGTCCCGGCGAGGGACCTCGGCGAGGGACCCCCCGACAAGATGTATGTGAAGCTCCCTCAACAGCCGCCCAGAGCCGGCAGGCAGCAGGTCCATCTCTCCTCTGGGAACACAAGGAACGTAAGCGTCCCTGAGCCATGGGCAGGCAGTGGCCCTTGTAGCCAAGAACGCCGATGATACCCTGGGCTGCAGTAGGAAGAGCTTTGCCAGCACGTCGGGGGAGGTGATCCTGCCCCTCTATTCAGCACTGGTGAGGCCGCATCTGGAGCTGTGTCCAGTTTTGGGCTTCTCAGTACAAGAGAGACATGGAGCTCCTGGAGCAGATCCAGTGGAGGGCAACAAAGATATTTAAGGGGCCGGAGCATCTCTGTTATGAGGGAAGACTGAGGGAGCTGGATCTGTTCAGCCTTGGGAAGAGACAACTGGGAGGGGGCCTCATCAATGTCTATAAGTATCTGAAGGAGGGAGGATGCCAAGAGGCTGGAGCCAGGCTCTTCTCAGTGGTGTCAAGCAATAGGGTAAGAGGCAGCAGGCAGAAACTGATTCACAGGAAGTTCCACTTGGATATATGGCAGAACTTCACCGTGCAGGTGATCATGCACTGGAACAGACTGCCCAGAGAGGTTGTGGAGTCTCCCTTGCTGGAGATGTTCAAGCACCATCTGAACACAGATATGTGCTGTGTGCTCTGGAATGATCCTCCTTGAGCAGAGAGGGTGGACCAGGTGCCCCAGTGTTGTCCCTTCCAACCTGACCCATTCTGTGATTTTGTGATTCTTTTGGCAGTGATTAAAGATGGGTATGGCCAGAGGAGTTGTGAGATTACACTAGTCAGAATGAGAGGTCAGCAAACACCACAATCCATCAGTCTCAGTGTGGGAGCTGACACAGCCCCATAGTGGGGGCACCTGGGCCACCTTCCATGTGATGTTACTGCTGACAGAACTCCTCAATTCACATGAGAACAGCCACTGGCTTTGGCTTCATCCCACATAATAAATCTGACCTCCTGAGAGGAGTTACCCACTTCTCTCTACTACTTTCTGGAATGCGAGGGAAATGAAGAAAGGCTCTGGATGCTGCTTGAGGTGACCTGTGCCAAGGAACACATCCCCATCTCAAGATGCATCCTGTTTACAGTGGTGTTATAAGGAATGTTGTGGGGGTTTTTTTGCCTCTTACAATGCAAGTTTCTGTTACGTTGAGCACCTGCGTAATTTGAATCCCCTTCAGGACTGCTCATCAACAGGGGAATTTGTTTCAGTCAGAAGCAGGGCCGATTCATTCCCACAGCCTCAAGCATAATCCCCGGCCTATTGGACACATTAACACTGTGGCAGCGTGCCACCTGCTCCATTTATTCACTTGGGACTCAATGCTGCTTAGTCCCTGTCGAATGAGCTCTTTGTGCCACCTCCTGCGGTAATGTAAAAGGTCCCCCACAGGAATTTGTGCTATTCAGTGGAAGCTACAAAAGGGAGGGTTGTAAACACTCCGATTAGTGTTGGAGCACAGCGATATTGTCTTCAGCACCTATTACATAACCTCCCAAATTCCAGGCTCCCTCCTCCTCTCCAGAAGAAACAGTGTTACAGCAAGGGCTCACCAGGCGATTTAACTTAACATCACAGCTAATGTGTTTCTTCTTTTGTTACATAAAAAGGCCACCTTATTCCTGGCAGGAGAAGAGAGAAGGGTTAGTTCTGTAGCCTCCCGTAGTAATTGGAGATGGTTCCCCATGAGGATCTCCACTTGAAGCGACAGTGGCCAGAGGCTCTCAGCTCTGAAGAATGTGTATTATTAGAGGCCACTGCCAACAAAAGTTCATGCACAATGGGCTCATCAGCTAATGAACCCAGAATGAATTTTCTCCCAGATTTTAAGGACAAACAAGTGATTGTGTGCAGTGCTGACTGTACCAATTTACTGCCATGTGAAACAGATTTGGATGATTTCTGACTTGCAAAATTCACTGTGGTCTGGGGCCAACTTACACAGACTGAGGTACTTTCTTACACCCTCAGCTTGCCCCACATTCACTCAGTAAACTCTTACTGCTTTAAAGACAAAGTGAAGCAAGGATTCTGAGGTGGCAAGCTCTCTGCTTGGAAAATCAGTCTCACTAATGTACCTGAGCTTCATAAAAGTAATAAAATAATAATGGAGCAGAGCTTCAGAAAGCATTTGGTCAGGGAAAGAAAAGGGAAAAGGCACAGTGGTGTTAATGGATAATGCCTTCCTCCTATTACTGCTTCAAGAAAGCCAGTTCTGGAGTTGAGTTTGTCTTGGACAGATGGGAGTCTACATGGGCTGTACCATTCTGGGAAAACTTTAGACATGCTGTGTAATTCTCCTTAGCAATAAAGGAATACACAGCAAACATAAAAAGACTTAGCTTAGGAAATAAACTAGTTGGTCACATACTGAAACAAACAAGTGAAACAATGAGAGCCTGAAGATACAACAGGAAAACCTGGAAGTAGTAAATTAATCAATGCCTTTGGAGGAGAAAGTATGTTGTTCATAGAAATTACCACAGAGCAGGAGAACAGAGCCAATAAAGGTGTATGATGCTGAACTCTGCCTAAGCAACTCCTATGAGCAGTATTATGGAGCCATAGAATCACAGAATGCTTTGGGATGGAAGGGCCCTTAAAGACCATCTATTTCCAACCCCTCTGCCTTGGGCAGGAACATCTTCCCCTAGAACAGGTTGCTCAAAGCCAAATAATTCCAAGTTCTCTGCAGTAGGAAGAAAATTTATAAATACTTAATCAATAAAAAGGGTATAAGAAAACTTGAGTCTTGGCCACCTTTACATCCTAGATGTACTTGTCTGAATCAGGTTTGCTCTGTTTCTAGGAAGATTTTGTATCTAAGTGTGTTTTCCCATGTGAGTAGCACAAATTTTAATGATTTACTGGTACTTACTGTTGATTTGGTGAAAGATCTCATGCCAAGGGAATGTGTCAAATCTTCATAAAAGTGTTCCTTTTGCCATGCCCAACAGACATTACCATCCAACAGGAAAATATTAGGTTGTTGTTTGGCTGTGCTCTGCAGGTATCCCACCAGCACAGTCTGTCCTCTCATTAAACTCCTCCCAGGCTATGAGTCTCCAGGCTTTTCCCATGAAGGTGGAAGTGCCAGCCATGGGACAGGGCACCATGGGTCACGGGGCTGGAGAGACCACAGCATATCCATGTTGGATGGGTCTGTGTGTCACTGTGCAATCGCCAGCAAACTTCAAGGCACTCCAGCCAGCAGGATGAGGGGCTTGGGAGCCAGCTAGCAGAATAGCCATAATTTTGGGAGGGACACTGGAGTGACCATAGATATATTATTAAAGATACAACAGGTGTTCTTATATTTATTTTTTTGGAATTAGATGTGAAATACATTAAGCATACTAAAAGAAAGCGAAGAACCTTATGAAATGACAGGAAAGCAATGTCACATTATGACCTCTGTACTCAAGTGTCTGTAAGGAAAAACAAACGTAAAAAACCTGAACAAAAACCCAAACCCCAAAGCAACTAAACAGAAACTTTTTACTTTTAAAGAAAGAATTACAAAAGGCCCTCCACCCCTTTTTGGTCAGACCCCCAACACACCAGGGATTTGTATAATTTCTTACTATATGAATTCCCTCTTTGCTTCCCTTTATGTTCAGTGATTTAAAATTCTGTCCCAAAGGACAGTGATAAAAGTGGCCAATGCTTTACTTGGAGAACATTCCTAACTAAAAGAAGCTTTAAAAACATGTTCTTATGTAGGTGATGGTTTGCTGGTTATCCAGACATAGGGTGAAATAAGAGACCCCAAAATAAATGGTGATTTTTTCCTGCAAAATTAATAAGACTACACAACTTTCTAAAATGGTTAGGTTTTTCAGAAAGAACATTCTGAGTACTCATCATTTATTTACAGAAAAATACTTCAAAGCAACACTTTTAGGTATGGAAAAAAACTGCTGGAGAGGTAATTCTTAGTATTATTCTATCCATCTAGATCAGTAACTTGTAATATGCTTCCTGGTAATGTTTCCCTGAGAAACTCTTGAGAAAGAGCACACGAGAACCAGTAATGTCTTTTTATTAAAATACCTCTTAAAACACTCATCATCATAAAATACACTGGGTGTTGTTGCATGACATTTGTGTACACACAACACTTTCAGCAAATTCTAGACAGCATCAGGAATTACAAAAAGTAAGGCAAGCCCCAGAAGGTGTGCACTACCTTCTCTCAGGCCAAAACAGACAACTGTGTTTAGGTTTTTATCCCATTCTCCCCAGTATTTCCTGGGACTCCTGTTAGGTCGCTCCCCCATCCCTCCTGCCCCCACTTGATTTGACCTCACAGTGAAATTCTGAGGATGTAATTGGAGACAGTGTCACAGATCCATGGGGCTGCAAGTGCCTGACCAGAAACATCAGCCCTCTTCCTCCCCCAAGAAGATTCTGAGCTACCCTCATCTTTCCAATAATTTAAGACTGCAAAAATCTGAAGCATGCTAATGACCTCCTGCTTGCTTGATTGCTATGCGTCTCCTGTCTCGGTCAGGAACATGGATGCACCCTCCAGCTACAGTCACAGCTACTCTTGACATATTCTTCCTCTCCAATAATTTTAAGAAATTCTAGCAGAAAAAAAATATAACATGAATTGTAAAATATA